TAATTTAATTTTTTTTAAAAACTTAGTCGTGATCACTCCAAGGCAGGAATGTTTGGGGAGACAGCCTCTGGCTGGGCTGGGAATCAGGCAGCCTCTATTCTCGAGTCTAGTGAACTGGAAGCTGCAGATCAGCACTCTTCTTCCTGGACAGGGGTAGCAAGAGTGAATATTTTCCTTTAAAGCTCACTTATTTCCGTATTCTAAGCTGATTTGTACATTCTTCTCTTTTTCCCCCAACATCTTCAAGGCCACCGACACCTGCCCCATGCTTCAACAAGTTATCCTTGATGGCTTCTGGAAGCCCATTTACTTCTGCTTAACTAAAGACTCCTGCCCCCATTTCACCTTCTCCTGCGGTGACTGAGGAGGTGGTAGGAGGCCGGTAGTTCGAAGCTTCAAAGGGACCTGCAAACCTGAACAGCGGAGTCGGAGCCCTAGCCCCGCCGCAGGGTCAGGAGCGCCCGGGGGCTCCACTAGGAAGCTCCGTGTCTCTCTATGGAAGGGTTGCGACCCGGGAAAGCCTTCGTGGCTATGTCCCCGCTCCAGGGGCGTGTAGCTCGCAGAGAGGCCAGCCCAGCCTCATCGCTCCCGAGGTTATCATCAGAGCGCACTTCCACGTGGCTCTGAGTCCTCACATCCCGCTGCCCTCGGGAGGCCTTTTCTCGTCGCGAGGTTTTTTGGCCCGACGCTCGCTCTCAGCCTCTCGGGAGATTCCGGCAGGCCTCTGTCCCAGAAAACCAAAGGTCCGAGCTCTCTGCCTCGCTTTGCGAGCCAGGAGAAGTGCGTCCCTTCTCGCTTGCCTTATGCCGGGCGAGGCGGAGACCGCACTACCGTGCCGCCAGCCGGAGGGGGGGACGCTCACGTGTGGCCCTCTGTTTTCCAGCCGGTAGCAGTGGATCCCGCGAAACCACCGGTCAGCCTACCAGGGTCAGTATTATATTGTCCTGAGAGCTCGCACAAGAGGCAGACAAGACCATCCACTCGAGCTCGGCTGCAGACGCGCCCCTTCCCTCCCCCCTCGGTTCGTCCGGACCGCCCGCAGTTGCAAGCGCGCCAGCCGCCGCCGATTTGCCTCGGCCTTTGACAGCTCGGCCCGAGCACCTCCGGGCCTCGAGTCCCGGCTCAAGGGGCGGGGCGAGGCGGGGCGAGCGAGCGCTGGGCGGGGCGAGTGCGAGCGGCGGCGCTAGGAGGGAGCGCCCGAGCCCCGCAGAGCCGAGAGGAGCGGAGCAGGGAGGTGCTTCGGAGAGGCTGGCAGAGCCCGGCCGGCCGCCTGCGGCTCCGCGCCGATCGTGCTGCGTCCCCGGGCTCCGCGCACCCCCGCCTCTGCCCAGGCTCCCGCAAAACTTTTATTCTCTGGGGCCCCCTGCGTGTCTGAAGGACTCGGAGAGCTCGGCCAGCTCTGCGCTCCCCTGCGGCGGCGACCAAGGGGACGTGCATCCCTCACCCGCGGGGCTCTAGCGCCTCGCGCCTCTTCACCTGCCGATCTCTCCCCGGAGCAGCGAGGGGGCACCCGCGGAGGCGCCGCGGGGGCGCCAGCGCCCCGGAACTCTCCCGCCCACCGCGACAGACCCGCCCGGCGCAACTTTAACTTGATTTCTCTCGTCCAGCCCCGGCACCCGCGACTGCTGCTGCCACCGCCGGCGTCTCGGCAGCCGCCGCCTCACAAAGGGGCGTAGGGAGGGGAGGCGGCGCGGGCGGCTGGCTAGACGTCGGTGTGCTGGGCGCGGGCCTCCGGGCCGCAGAGGCCGGGAGACAAAAGGGAAACTGCCTCTGTTCACCGTGCGGGCTCGGAGCTGCCTGCTTGTCCATCTCCCGCCCGACTCCGTGAGCCTCCTCCCCCTAACCCTCGGCTGCTGCTCCGCCTCCCTCCCCGCGGGCTTTCCCCGCAGTGCTCCGGGACCCGGCGAGCTTTCGGGGCGCGCGTCGCTGCTGGTGGTTGGGGCTCTAGCGATAATAAATGATAGAGGATACAATGACTTTGCTGTCTCTACTGGGTCGCATCATGCGCTACTTCTTGCTGAGACCTGAGA